TAATATTTCCAAAGAAGTATCGGTGAAGATATTCAAATCTAAGAAAAGAACTTTAACCCCAGCTAGCAGTGAAATTCATATGAACGTACATATGACTTCGAAATCCATCTGAACATTCGAGGGTTAAGTATGTAAAAACGGTTACAATGTGTATCCACGGACGTTCATTGAGATGAAAAATAGTGAAGACAACTGTCTTGAGTCACTAATAAATACTAAATAAATTCTGTTATCTATCTTTCGTATCTTTCCCGTTTACTCAAAGCTTATGTACCCAGTATGATATTCTTCGTCACTGTTTGCCACCACATTTCATTTTAGAATGCACCTTCACCGTTAACTGCAAGTTCGCGTACGTCATTTCTCTATCCGTTTGAAATCGCTTTCGTAGTGCATATACAGCCGCGAACAATCCACCGAATGGAAATTCGATTACTCGTGTCCTCCGCCAGGTGCTTCCTCCTCGGTCGGTCCTTTATTACGTGACAATATTGCGAACGCCTCTCTCGCCGGCAATAAAGCGCTTTAAGATCCTCGCCAGATGTCACACCGTCGGTCGGCGTCATATACGAGACCGAAATCTCAAATATTAGCGGATCTCCCCGGCGGATAGAGAGGATGGCACGTCCGCACGCTCTAATATCGCGCCTTTTTTTCCCGTCCCTCGACGCCGCCGCGACATGTGCGCGAAACGGCTTATAAAACTTTCGCGGAGCAACGTATCGTCCCAGTTTTTCCATTGCGAACCAATGAGACCCGCGGACAGTGTGATCTGGAAAAGCGGGAGTTGTGAAGAAAAGCGTCTCAAAACCATCCCCTTGCGATAGAAAGTTTCCTGGTACAGTCGTTTAGAATGTTTCTTCCTTATGCGTGCGTTATTAATCGTTTCCTTTTAATCTGTCTGTTGGGTGACTTAAAAAGTCTGTTTGTTACAGATCTATTTTTTTAAATTATTCTCTATGATATATGTTATGTTTGTATGTACCTTTTTTAAGGTGAATGAGGAACATCTGGGAACAAGAGATGAATGGATATTTGTAAGATATGTATAGCCTGTTCTGTTATCTTGTCATAGTTATGTGGAACTTTACTGTTTCTCATTTTTTTGTATGCTTGGTTAATCGTAATTAATATCAATTAATCTAATCCAGTAATCTAATACCATTAATCTAATCCAGTGATATTGCGGTTGTAATTAACACTTATTCAATTTATGTACTTGAGCTTTAAATATTACTCACTCAATTTATTTTTCTTGAGCTTTAAATTCTACGGCATAGTAAATAAAAGCTGTTAGTATAATGCTGTATTCATGGTTAGAAGCTGAAGGTAACATAGGTTTGAATAACTCCCGAATTTTTCGCATACACGTATATACGTCTAGGGGCGGTATTCATAGACGCTGCTTCCACTTATAAATGTGTAATCCATACGTATCACGTGAATGTATATTCATATCTGGGTACTTAAGCATTTGCTTAAGAATAAGCAGCGACTATGAATATCGGCCTAAATATAGTTTTTTGTAAGATATTTGCGGACTTAGCGGCAAAAGACAATTGCTTTATTAAAGCAGCTCCTTTGACTGAGAACGCCATCCGTGGTAAAATGCCCAAACTGAGAACTGTATAAATTCACAAAGATCAGCTTATTTTCAGCGTTTTATATATAATACGTTCTGGACGTGCTGGGCGACAACGTGAGATACGTGCATGTATCTGAGAAATACGTTTTAGCGAGGGACGTTTCCAGTGAGCAATTAACAAACCAATAATTATCGAGCTTCTACTAACTAAAAAGTTTATTATCTACATCTGGCAACATGAGTATGGTATTAATTGGTTATTAGCTTCGACATTTTGTCGTAGATGCCACCACGAGTATCCGATTACATTTGTTACAGAAAAAAACAATTACCTTCTGTAAATTTTTACATACGAATTTAGTTACACGTTATTTACGTACAAAAATTTTATTTATTGCGAATAATTAAATAATGAACGTATGTTAATATTCAGCTACGTGTCTCTCAAATTAAGTGAAATACAGAAGTTTTATTTTCTTGAAAATTAATGTCAAAAAATGCAGCAACTGGTCAGATTAGGTTCGTAAATAAATCGAAACCCTGTATCGACACACTGTTTTTTAGGCTATCAAATATCACACGGAATCTTTTAGGAAGTAGTAAAATCCTTTACACAAATTCAATGAAATACTTTCAGGTACCCAGTTTATGGCTATGAAATTAGAATGTTTAAGAAGATGTAAAGGAGTTTCATATTTGCAATTATTTTGTGATACTGTAATAGAAATCGGTATTCTGTGAGAAAAATTGTATTTAACGATATGAAATGAATAATAAATAACGGTCTTAGGGATTTATACTGGAGAGCTAAATCTTTAAAAGGAACATGTCGCTTAAACAAATTGGTTAAAAATGATATTTATTTGGGGAATATGAACATCATAAATAAACGAGAGCGGTAGAGAGAGCCGCGGTATCGGTGCTGACGCGTGCCGAAGAATTTCGGTGGTCTATGGGGGGAGGTGTACGAGCGAGAGAGTACGGTAGAGCGTGCCGCGGTATCGGTGCTCTCTATCGGTCCAACGCGCTAGTGACGTTGCGTCACACAGTTTATTGACCTAGCCGTGTACGCCGTGTACCATAGCCGTACCTGGCTGTACCATCCGATGTTTGGGTCGTTCAAGGAAGGTCGTTCAAGCCGGCAAAAACAATTCAACACGGAACAAACCTGCGTACGGCGTACGCCCAATACATAACGGCGTTAGCTTCCTCACTTTCTCGTGAACCGTCGCGGAGGGTGGTCGCGCGTCTCATACTCGTCCTTTCTCTTGTTACTAACCCATTGTTTGTTGCAGGCATTCGACAACCATCAATTTATTTACTGTGCATATTGTTGTGTCCCCTCTCTTGTTACTAATCCCTT